TAATCATGGCTCAGGCAATGGCTGATGAAACGAAGAAATTGTTTATGAGTATTGGATTAAGCGAAAACAAGGCACTAGAAACATTAAAAAATGAAACTTTATCAGAACAACTTAAAGCGGCAATTGAAGAGGTATTTTACGCGTATTTTAACTGCGATCCGCAGCTGTAGTCGTATAAATAACGTAAACTTGATCATGATGATAACGATGATAATGCTCATTGAATGCATTACCGCCGGCCCATTGCATTCATATTGCATGTTTAACTGACTTGGTCACAATCTATCAACTAACAATGTATCGTTATGAAGTTTAGGTCTCATTGACTAGTTAGCCCTAGAGTATTACGCAAAGCCGACACTCACATAGTGTGACATCAACGTACTAAGTGACTACCATACCCACAGGCAAGTTGAAGCGTTTCAATAAAATATAATGGGGTATTAATGCTAACTAAATACGAAATCTATTTACTTACTACAAAATTCTTAATGTTTCTATACTATAGCCAGGCCTACTCTCTTTCACCTACGGCTACATCGCCGATAGTTTCCAACCACTGCATTACCGGCTGCCATTGCTCTCGCGGCGCGACTGTTGCACGCTTGCACTAATATAACTACGCACTAATATAACTACGCACTAATATAACTACGCACTAATATAACTACGCACTAATATAACTACGCACTAATATAACTACGCACTAATATAACTACGCACTAATATAACTACGCACTAATATAACTACGCACTAATATAACTACGCACTAATATAACTACGCACTAATATAACTACGCACTAATATAACTACGCACTAATATAACTACGCACTAATATAACTACGCACTAATATAACTACGCACTAATATAACTACGCACACTTGAACTAACAGTCTATATATTAGTGCAAGCGTGCAACAGTCGCGCCGCGAGAGCAATGGCAGCCGGTAATGCAGTGGTTGGAAACTATTGGTGGTGTAGCCGTAGGTGAAAGAGAGTAGGCCTGGCTATAGTATAGAAACATTAGGAATTTTGTACTAAGTAAATAGATTTCGTATTTAGTTAGCATTATATTTTATTGAAACGCTTCAAGTGCCTGTGACCATACCGGGAGAACACTACAGCTCTGCGGAGCTCAGTTCAAGGATTCAAGGACCTCTGCTGACACTAACAGTGGTCACTGTTAGTGTTTTGCCTCCTTCATATGGTTCTCCCAGTCTCACGTCCCAGTTAGGCTGAGAGGGTCTATATCCCCCAGGGTACTGCCGGAATGTACCCTGGGTACGGTTCGGTATACCGGAACGTACCCTTGTAACTATCTGATATGGTTAGGGAGTAGGCGTAGGCGACTCCCTAAACTCGTTAGTGGAGTAGGCGAGGTACGGTCCGGCATATTAGATAGTACCAGGGTACGTTCCAGTATACCGGACCGTACTTAGGGTACGTTCCGGCAGTACCCTGTGGGACATAGACCCTATGAGCACCAGTTACTGCATGAAGACCACGAATTACGTGGTCAACCGATCCACGAGGAATTCACAGTCCCCAGTGTTGAGTACCAAGTTTTTATACCTTGAGAAAATTCAATGACCCAGCTAGGGTTGGAATTTGCAGCCTTTGAAGTAGTAGTGGGATGATGGGGGTAATTAACTCGCATCACGATTCGATACACTGACCAACCAAATACCAATACACACCAATACTTTCAAGAGAAGCATTGATTGCAAAAAGGCCCAAACAGAGAGGAAAATAGGAAGAACAGCAAAACAGAACCTGGAAACTATAGGCCTATGTCAGTCTTAAAGGTAGATTCCCTCGAACTTTCAAGTGACAAACATAAAATCAGGTGAAAATTAATTATTTTAACATTGCACGCTTGTACTTGCCTATATTATATATATGTGATAGGTGAAAAAAAACTGCTCAGGAATACGTTCATTCAATGCTTTTAGACTACAAAGTGAAACGTTCGGGTCGAATGTTTCAAACACATTTACATTTGCGGCTATGCAGCGATTGTGCCGTTCCGCGCACTTGCCGCGTTATGTATGTATGAACCATGCTATGTAAATTTATGCACACTGGCATGTTATGACCCAATGGTTTTTCTGGTCACGTACATGGCTAGCTGATAGGGAAAGGGCAACGTTTTTGTTTCTGGGAGATTATGGTATTCTGAGCGAGTTAACGAGTGAGTGAGTTGAGAGTCCTGTCAGGTCTCTGTTAGTTCAGATTACGTTTTCTTGGGTTTTTAGCACGATTTATCTCGAAAAAGGTTACGGTATAAATTCTGAAATTAATAACATAAACAGTCGAGGAATCAAGAACTGTCTTTAATCACAGGTGTCTGTTACAGGTGACCACAAACACAGGATTGCCTGTATTCATCATTTCGTCTTCTTGCATTAATTAACATTCCTATTTCTTGCTGAATGATTGTTATTATAAATATAAGGTGCTACCGGTACTCTGTTTTTCAGGCTCAGAAGCACTGCAGTGATGGCATCGACAAAGCGACAGGAAACCTACTCTATCACGTTGCAACAAAACTGAAGAAGCAGGTCAAGCACAGACTGGCATTTCTCACTGAGTACGTGGCTAGTGGCAATATAGCTACTGAGCTTCAACTGACAGGTATATCAATGTGATTGATCTATCCACCTGATGTGGTAGACTGGCAGTTATAGCTAACCGTTGTTGTGATAGGAAGTTTTATGAATAATACTTGGCAATGAGGTGCCGTAAATTTGACATTTTGGCATGCACGCTTGGAAAGCATATATAGAAACGAGTGTAGCTTGACCATTCTAGCAGTCAAGGGGATGTGTGTTCTCATCTCACTCAGCTGGATAGCTCAGTTGAATGACATACAAGAATGTAACTTAACCATTAGATTTCTATAGTTGTTTATAGTAAGTTGAGCATACGTCAGTAATTGAGTGCCTTATTTTGTGATGGCATTCTTTGCTTAAATTGACTACGTCACGAATTTTCTATGGTAAATTTTGTAAAATTTGAGTTGCCATTTTTTTTCATTAAAAGTAAGAACTAACGGGACTAAACGTATCGTCAAATTTTTACCTGATAAGATTGTTTCTCAACTAGTTAAAAATCCAAAAAACCTGGACGATTTGATATTAGTGTTCCTAACATTAATTGCTTGTTATTGGCTATGTATGCGCCACGAGTGTATGTTCACATCGAACAATATAGTAAAATAAAAAGTATAATGCAGCAATTTAACCATACAAAGTGAACAGAATTACTTATATTTTGTGAAAAAGTTGAAATATTTTTTTAAATATTTATTATTTACAGTGACGTAATTGCTTTAAGTTGCTTAACGTTTTGAACCTTAGGGTAGTCATTTGTTTGCAAAATGGTATGAAGCTGTTTTACTTAAATACTGAAAATGCATTCAAATTGAGATATATTTGCAAAGCTGGTATTTGGAGCTTGTATGCATATATATGCAGAATTACAAGAACAGAAGTATCTATGGCTCCAGACTCTCTGGACAGCGCTGTGGGGTTTATAATATTTATTAATATAATTTTAATAGTTATTCATGCGAGTAAATGTGGAATGTTTCTTTGCACTCAGCTGCGCTGGAGTACTTGCTGCATCATGCTGTAGGCCAGGTTAACGTTGCTGTATTCGAGGAGCACTGTGGAGTTGGAGTCTCAGTCACACCAGAGGATATAGAGAATGCAGTTAGTGTCACCTAACCACAGAGTCTGTAACATAGGGTTTGTACAGATCCGAGAAAACTTGGAATGATCTAGGCTATGATCATTGAAAATCATCGAAAATGGCTTGTTGTGTCTGGTCTTAGAAAGTCTATGAAATTGCCTACATGTATGCCTTGTCAGCCCTCGACACTAACGGTTGTCCGATTGCCCGGGACAAGTGAAAGTCAATGTCGGACAAGTTATTTTCTTGTCTAGTTGCCTGATCGGACAACTGAAAAGTTCTAGTTGTTTAATATTCTAAACATCCTCTGAGCCAGGGCGCTATCGTACCACATTCTCACTTCAAACGTTTTCAAAGGTCCCTGAAAAAAGCAGCCCGCAACACCGACTGTTACCATTACAGATTTATTCAGAGCGGCAATGCGTACCTCCCTGGCCGGGGCGGCATTGATTTATGTACTGGGGTGGGGGTACGATTGTTTATAAGTCGGTTGGGGCATATTCATTACTGAATATCAGGAGTAGATAATAGGGAAGGAGTGTGACTTCAATAAACAAGGGAAATTCGTCATTTACTAGCCTTAAAATACCTACGATTTACTACGCGTAACTCATCCAACTTGCGCTCAAATCGTACACAGTACATTCGCCTAGCATCGTGCGAAATTGTTTCCTCGTATACACCCGCAATCCGGAGATACAGACTAAAACGTACGACACAATTTTCCATTCTGTTGCCAGCAAACTTGATGCGTTCAGAGCCTAATTTGAAACAAAAGGCAGCTACTAACACTCGGCGATGCGGTGTGACTCGCTGGGAGATTGGACATCGACGCAACACTCAGCGAGATAACCTCTTTGACTCGGCATACAGCTACATATCGGCATACCGGCATACCGGCATACAGCTGGTAAATCCCCCACGCACGCACGCCCACCGCAATCAGCAGCAATCTCCCAGCGAGCCACACCGCATCGCCGAGCGTTAGTAGCTGCCTTTTGTTTCAAATTAGGCTCTGAACGCATCGAGTTCAGACATTCAAACATAGACGTGTGAATTTCATTACGATTTTACATGTACTGTATTTACTCGCGTATAAGTATAACTTATGTATATTATAAGTCTCACCCCATATTTTGCATTGAAAAGTTGGTACAAACATTGGTACATTAACAAGATTTCTTAGCCTCGTCTATAAGTCGCACCCCCTGATTGTTTTATTGAAGTTGTGCACAAAAAGCGCGGTTTATACACAAGTAAATACGGTATATATACTGTAAGTGTAATACACACGCACGCACGCATGCAAACGCGCGCCATACACATATGCATAGGGTATGTGCGAGCCTATATGCACGCAGGGAATACTGGGCAAAATATCAGGATGTATAATATATATAATAATATCATACAATCTATCTATATACGTGTTCATATAATTATATATATAATATCTATTATAATCTATTTATATATTAATAGACCCTATATTTATAGACACTCCTGAAAGAGATATGCGACTGAACCAAAAGAGACATTAACAGCTGCATAGATTGCAACAGTAAAAATTGCTTCTTGTTGTGCCCGACAGGACAACCAGATCTGAAAATAAGCATCGAGCCTGCTTGTAATAGGCAATGAATTTGCTTCAAATGTAAAAGCTGATTCACTAATTATTGATGGGATGATACAAAGCAGAAAGTTGTATCATTAAAAATTTGTTTTTTCTAATAGGTGGAAGAGTTGATACAGAACACAAACACAGTTGTTGGAAAAACGATACCGTCAACATGGGACTTTGATGGGTATGCACAGAAACATGACATATTATTGGTACTGTTCGTGATATAATATATGCTTATAAGGGGTATTAGTTGCCACACTTAATGTGTAATCACAACAACACCTCCATCTTGTACCTATTGCAGGAGAAGCTCGTAGGAAGGTGAAGTGGCTGACGGCAAGATGTTAAAAAATGAGATGGACATCTAATCTCGATCTGCTCGGACCAAAACACAGAGACATGGAATTCTGTGAGCATGGACAATCTGCTGGTGCCAAGCGAGCAATCCGTGGGTCACCCAACCAAGGACGCAGCAGCAGCAGCCAGCAACAGCAGCAGCAGCATCAACAAAACCAATTGAAAAAACAAAACTGGTAATAGTTTTTGAAGTTATTCATGCCTAATCAATTGTATGGTCTAATACACATAGTTCGTAGAGTGAAAGAGATGGTGGTATAAAACTCTTTGGTGTAAAGATTTAGAACATAAAAAAGGATTAATTGAATTCACTTTATTATTACACATTTTAATTTACTCTAACGAAGTAATTTTTGACGATCCTGTCTAGATCTCACATTCACATACAATGGAACCAGATTAAAACCGGATTAACTGGATGTGAAAATTTAGTTCATTTGAATGAATAAACATCAATATATAACACAAAATATATAACTCCTATAGTGTAGGAGTTATATATTTTGTGTTTATGTATCGTTCTTGTTATAGCGTCATGTTCGGTGGTTCTGATATATAATAATATAATTATGATATATATTTATATATTATTATTATTATATTATATTAGTAATATATATCATTAGCTCCATCTGACATAGCAGATCAGCTTGTAGATGCATACGCGTCGGTGCCGTACCCGTGCGAGCGTCGTGCCTCCGTGCGAGCGTCGTCCGTGGTGCCGCAACAATTGGGCCACAAATCTTAACCGCTTCGCGTAATCGGTCACGATATGGACGTGGGGGTAATCCGCAAACGAAGTTGGGAATGTCGAAAGCTGGTGTCAAGGTCAAAGGTCCAAGAGGTGAAACAGATAGGGGAACAATTCACATCCTTAACTTAGAGGTATAAGAAGGAAATGCAGAATTGGCGGCACAAATCATACGGCTCCGACCTAGCCTGCGTGATAGTCGTGTACTTAGCATTACATGTAGAAAAGCGCATCACTGTGCCGAAATTGGAGGTCACAGGTCAAAGCCATTGGCACAGCGAGATTTTGACATTTTCCGAGGACATTGGTCTTGTACGAGCGATGAAAAATGTTTTGTTTCAGCGGTGACATAGTATTATGGCTTATGAAAGACAGATGAAAATGTCCCTTCTGCGACATGCGAAGAGTAACGTGTCGAATAAAGCTTTTGAGACCCTAGCAAGAGGAGGTTAAACTTGATTTGTTGACTGTCGTTAAGAAGAATTTGACTGCCGGTTTGCTAGTAGAATCTACATGCCTGGATGTATGAGTGCTACAAAGGTCAGCAGTGAATTTCAAAAGCTAAATTGAGTTAAAGAAGGTGTATGTTCTAAATTCGTAGTAATTTCTATGCATTTCTGTACTGTTCAGTATGTTACACAGTAACGTATGGCCACTGCCGTAGGCTGCTGCAGGTGCATGTGTTGCGCGTTTTGCCTGCCGTTATTGCTTACAGGTGCAGCTTCTATTGCAATTTGCAGCCTGTAGGCTTGCTAGGTAATGTAGAGTGGCTTAGCCTATCTGTCTAGCAATAGTTTTGCGACTCAGTATGAATGAGGAGCTTCCATCTTTAATCCTGAAGACCTTAAACGTACGCGCCATCTCAGTGGCAAACTTCATAACGATCCCAACGAACATTCTTTTCGAAAGGCTTCCATGATACGCATTCCCTGTGCATTCCACTGTTTACGGCGTGTATGTGAACACATTGGACTAACAGGGTTGTACTAGAATCCCACCACTCCACACCAGAGTCACCGCAGTACAGCACTTAGAATGAGCGCTGTCCGGCTTGCGCACTTTAATTATATTTATTATATTATATTATAATTATATATAATTATACAAATTTTTTTAGTTTCTAATGGTTTTTTGATCGTAGTACAAAAGTGTCTAGGAGCTTCTATGTGATGCAACTCCATAAGATTGTCATGTGTAACCATGTAGTAATCATGTATGACTTTTTGTGGTGTGTGATAAATTTCTCTACACTGTATTCAGTCGAGGCGACCTCTGTTGGCGAGCTCATGAAACGCACGTTGACATTCCACAAACCTGGCGAGAACTACAAGACAGAAGGCTACGTGATAACTCCGAACACTATGGATCTGATGAAGAAGCATGTTGCTGAGACTGGCGCAAAAGTGAGAAGCAGCAAATAAAGTGGTTTATTCCATGAATTTACCAAGCCTAAACCCTACCAAAAGAAGTCAGCTAATAAGGGCACTTGGGTAGCTTATACCAGGCAATTGCAACCACTGATGGCAATGAAAAATAATTACACAACTTTGCGACCCCCCTCCCAACAGGTTTAATGTGCTGCCAGAGGGGGCAGGGAATTGAAGAGGAGGGGTAAAGCATGCGTTGACCTATTGTTTTTACGTGATATCATCAAGCCGGTGGCCGAGTTGCCACAATGCAACCGCTGTAGATTTTATTTGTGTGAGAAGAGACTCTAGATAAGATCCACTAAACACGAAGGGCTGCGGGTTAGTATTGAATTTTTATTTAGGCGATCAGTGGTTATCGGTATCTGTTAATTAAATCGATTTAGCTCGATCTGATACTTCCGTTGTAGTTGTCTGATGAAACATTGTAGTTGGTTTGAGTAATGTGTGAGATGAGTCCATGACGCTACGTGTGCTATCTACTGGAGAGGGTCGATTTTTTTGGTTACAGCTTCCTAGAAAATGTTAATTGCTAGAAACGATATATCTCAAATAAGGTACATCAAACGAATTAAATATTAATTAGCATTAATGCAATGTAAATTTAATGCTTCCCGAACCAAAAATTTAGAAGGCATGCCCAATACGGTGTCACTTTCTTGTGGCTTGCATTATATCCCTAAAATTCTTGCATTACAGGTGATGACACGGTTTCCACCGGAGCCAAATGGGATTTTGCATATTGGGCATGCTAAAGCCATCAACATCGACTTTGGTTATGCACAGGTATCTTGACGCCATCTTACTCAGCGTGTGTCTAGATTTTAAATTTTAAACTTTAGACAGAATTTTTTATCCATCTGGTTGCTTTCAAAGACGTTATTTGACATTTCACAGGTGATGGACATGGCTTATTTTAGTTTAGGCCATTAATCAATAGTGTTCTGGTTGTTTGAGATATATGATTTTGTTAGATTATACAAGTAAAATTATATGGCTGGGTTTTTAGCATTTTATATTTATGTATTTTACATAGTATGTATCTATTTCAAGGAAACAACGCCCATCGTTACTTCAGTTAATTGTTTTTTAATGGTAACGTTAATTGAACCCAAGCATATGCTTGCAGAAATCTGAAAATGCAAAATGCATTTCCTCATTCATTCGTTGAATCATTTCTTTTTCTTAAGGTCGTTATGTTAACCCACAATTGAATTGAGGTGAGGAGTTTTTGTACAGCTATATAAGCTTTTTGGGTGTTCGTACAGGCTACTGGTGGCCTATGTTACCTTAGGTATGATGACACAAACCCAGAAAAAGAGGAGGATGAATTTGTACGTGCTATCAAAGACATGGTCAACTGGCTAGGTGAGAGAAATTTATTCACAGCACCTACTAGAAATGCATCTGTCATGGTTAATAACAGTCTGTGAAGATTTCAAGAATAACACTACTCCAAGTTTCAGAAAAATATTCGATAAAATAATGGTTTCGTTATGCTACATACCAATTTACAATATTGAACAGTAACGTTTGATAACTACAAAATAACCTGTGGCCAAAAAATTAATAGCATTTGTTATTGATGAAATCTTTGGTTCTGTTTTCAGTCGTACTGTTGAAGAAGGTTAAGCAGTTCTGCATACTTTATGCATGATTTTCATAGTAGTTGTCTCTCAAGACTGTCTCCACAACACGATCAACATGATCTTTTGTCCGTGCTCTTGTTTCAGGATACACTCCTTTCAAGGTGACTCATGCGTCTGATAACTTTGATCGACTGTACGAACTAGCGGTGGAGCTGATTCACCGTGGTCATGCCTATGTCTGCCACCAGGTGGCTGAGGACATGCGTGGATTTAATCCCCCGCCCTCCCCCTGGAAGGACCGTCCGATCAATGAGTCTTTACAGCTGTTTGAGGTATGAAGATGTGTACCTGGAGAATTCCATAAGATTGATGCCTTGATTTATGAGGACAACGATGCCTTAGAATTTTTAAAGGGAGCATGAAATCTGGTTGTGAAAGAGTTATTTTAGCTCACTTCATTTGTAATTGGCTCTATAGGTCTGATAGGTAAAAACAATGGCATGGAATTATGTCCAGTCAAAGTTTCTACAATAAAATGATATTCGTGTGATTAATGTTCATGATATAATTAAATCATTAATGTTTTAAATGATGATTAAATAACTTCATCGGATCTCTATAATTTACATGCTAATAAAGTTAATCTCAGTTAGATCCATAATCAGTACAAAATAACTTACTCTGACGAAATTTTCGTCCATCTCTCCGACAGACTTCCTCAGGTCTAACGTTTCCAGGTAGATGGCAGCACTGGAAACGGAAGTTCGATCCTGGTAATTTTCGGGCGGCCTCCAGCCTGCGGTCCTCTCGAGTGGGTGCAGATCTGGGAATGTTGTTGTAAATGTGGGATAGATGGTATGACCCCTCATCTCTATTCATTGTAGTCGGTTCTCTGCGAATGTAAATTGCTTCTCTGATTTGTCTGCGCCTCGGAATTGATTCCTTTGACACCACAGTGGCCTCTTTCCAGTCCAGCAGATGGTTTTGATCGACCATATGGTCTGTTATGGCTGACTTATAGTTGTCCTGAAGTGGACGCACGAGCCGCTCGTGTGCTGGTTCCGTTTGTGTGAGTATTGACATCAGTCATATGTTTTTTTAAACGTGTGCCAAATTTTCTGCCTGTTTCCCCAATGTACGTGCTGTCACAATTCGAGCAGGCGATACGGTATACACATCCTGTAGTATTTTTGTTTTCAATTTTATCCTTGGGATGAACTAAGATGTTCCTGATGGTCTTGTGGGGTTTGAAAGTTGATAACAAAAATACTACAGGATGTGTATACCGTATCGCCTGCTCGAACTGTGACAAGCGCGTACGTTGGGGAAACAGGCAGAAAATTTGGCACACGTTTAAAAGAACATATGACTGATGTCAATACTCACACAAAAGGAACCAGCACACGAGCGGCTCGTGCATCCACTTCAGGACAACAGCATAAGTCAGCCATAACAGACCATATGGTCGATCAAAACCATCTGCCGGACTGGAAAAAGGCCACTGTGGTGTCAAAAGAATCAATTCCGACAAATCAGAGAAGCAATTTACATCAGCAGAGAACTGGCTACAATGAATAGAGATGAGGGGTCATACCATCTATCTCACATTTACGACAACATTCTCAGATCTGCACCCACTCGAGAGGACTGCAGGCTGGAGGCCGCCCAAAAATGACCAGGATCGAACTTCTGTTTCCAGTGCTGCCATCTACCTGGAAACGTTAGACCTGAGGAAGTCTGTCGGAGAGATAGATAAAATTTCGTCAGAGTAATTTATTTTGTACTGATTATGGATCTAACTAAGATTAACTTTATTAGCATGTTTTAAATGATGTTTATGATTTTTCCTACAATAGATGTTGATTTAAAAAAAATGTAATAATTGATTATTAGGAATGCACATGTTGATTGATGTTCACTCTACAAATAATCCGGTCTTCCTTTGACTGACAGGACATGAAAAATGGTCTGATTGATGAGGGAAAGGCGACCCTGAGGATGAAGGTCACACTGGAAGAAGGGAAACTTGACCCTGTTGCCTACAGGATAAAGTTTACTCCACACCACAATACTGGAGACAATTGGTTAGTGTATGGGTCCTCCACTCCTGTGGCACATTCTTGTTATTGATACAACAGACCTCGCAATATTAAGACTATCTCTCTTGCTGTTGTTTTCTCTCATGTAATTTGGAAGGGCTCTATGAATATGTCATGTTGCATACACATTTTCAGGAGTGTATCAATACACTCCTGATATAATATATAGGTGCATATAAAATGAGAAAATTAGTAGCGCAGCAGTTAATGCTAGATTTTTATTAGGTGTATCTACCCAACATATGATTTCACCCACTGTTTGTGTGACTCGATAGAAAACATCTCGCACTCTCTCTGCACAAAGGAGTTCCAGGCAAGGTGAGCAAAATTGAAGTACTGTGCAAGCATTCTCTCATGATAAATAATAATTATAAAAATAATGGTAAATAATAATAATAATAATAAAGAACGGTCAGTCTCATAACCTGCAATAGAGTGAATAGTTAAATTGACTACGTCACGAATTTTCGATGATAAAATTTGTAAAATTTTTGTTGCCATTTTTTTACATTAAAAGTAAGAACTAATGGGACTAAACGTATCGTCAAATTCTTACCTGATAAGATTGTTTCTCAATTAGTTGAAAATCCAAAAAACCTAAACGATTTCATATTAGTGTTCCTAACATTAATTGCTTGCTATGGGCTATGTATGCGTCACGAGTGTATGTTCACATCGAACAATATAGTAAAATAAGAAGTATAATGCAGCAATTTAACCATAAAAAGTGAACAGAATTACTTATATTTTGTGATATTTTTTTTACTATTTACGGTGACGTAATCACTTTAAATGTAGGATGGTCTTTACAGTCAGGCATTGTAAATTCTGCTTCATTAGATTGGTGTAGGTTTAGTGAGGCAGGATTGTACAGTTTGACTTGGGATTTTACATAATCAGTATAATAAGAGCTGTTTCCTTGTTGATGATAATTTGAGGTTGATTCATTCCTTGTATAGTTACAATAAACAGTTTGATTTGAAACTGGAGATTACCTGAATTAATATTTAATTTAGTTGTTTCTTTGGTGTCACGATCATCGTGTGTCGCCCAACAACGACACACAACAAACTGTTTAGATTACCTTACTTCAACATACCTTTGCAAAACATTGACATCTGTTATCTTTGAAACTTTTTTTTGTCATTATCAGGTTATTTTAAAATGGCCAATTATGCATGGCTTCAAGAATCCGATTAGTGCTAAAAGTGAATCCATTGACTTTGTGCTGTTGTGAGTTGGATGACTTCCAGTGCAGAAGGGATGTATCTATGGAATGCTGTGATTTTTCAGACGATCATCCTATTACTGGCTTTGCAACGCTCTCGATGTCTACTGTCCTGTGCAGTGGGAGTATGGCCGGCTGAACCTGGACTATACTGTGGTGTCCAAGCGCAAAATAGCGAAACTCATGGAAGTAGATTGCGTCAGGTAAATTCGTACATAAACCAACACCAGGTGGAGCAACCTGTCCGAAAATGTTGAAGATTGACTGTGAAACAGGTTCGAGCTGGTTGCTTGATTGGCATTATGGAAGTCTGAAGACACGAGGCTGCTGCATCATTGCATCAAATAGCATACATTTGCGTTGCCAGATTAAACAGAAACCTACATTATATCACTGATATTTGTCCAACACATCTAGTCACACGTTTGCAGTGGTATAGTGCTGACTAGACTAATCCCATCTGGGTCTGTCATCCCTGGGCTGTCTGAGCTAGTCAGGAGTATTCCAGTTCGTGATTATCATATGCAGCCAATGCTCTTAATGACAACGATCAAACAGCCTCGTGACAACAGCGAGACAGTGAGACATTAAATATGCAGGATGCATTTTAATGAAAGAATGATCTGGGTTTTATTTTGCATTTAATTTACCTTACGGAAAAGATATAAAGATACCACAACGTTTGCGATTGTGAATTCTATATGGTAGCAAAGCAGCGGCGTATGACAGCAAGTACATGACCTGTTAGTCCAGGCGTATTCACACTCTTTGCCGAGGTGCATTGCAAACATTTTGTGTGTGTTCGTACAGGGGCTGGGATGATCCGAGGTTGTTCACACTTACCGGTCTGCGACGCAGAGGGTTCCCGGCGAAAGCAATCAACAACTTTGTCCTAAAAGTAAGTGGGAAAGAAGCGAAATAAAAAGTAAATTTTTGAAAGTCGAAACAAAACTGATCGAAACGGGATTTCCAGCTCTCAGAGAATTTCCACTGTACAGTGTGTTTAATTTAGGATGTTCAAACTTTGACGACTGACACGCGACATTTATACAAGCAGAAGAAAACCGGGATTTTCGGATTGCAAATCTACCATTTGCACGGCAAAAGGCACATTATGCTCATGCACATGGATAGCCTTACACCACTTTTATCTTGCAGCTTGGAGTAACAGGCGCTCGGATTGTTGTAGACCCTCAGATGTTGGAGGCGTGCGTACGTGACGAACTTAATGTGACTGCGCCTAGGTAAGGTTTCGTCACCCAGTGGCACCATAGTCGTATGTAAACGCCTGCACAACTTTCACAGGGCGGCTTCGCAAAACGCAAGTAGCAGGCACCTTGCACTGTGCAGTCACTCTACTGACGACTGTACTGTACGGCAAGAATTAATCTGTTTATCTGTGCAAGATAGCCACACTTTCCTTGGAAATCGTTGCTAGTTTGGTCAAACTAGACCAGTTTATAGGTGTTTTTCACATGCGCTTGCCAATTTATCATCTTTGCAGCGTTCCTTGCTAAACATTGTTTTTTAGATCGTCTTTTGACTACAATGGTTGACTTGTTGCTGACTTGACCAGTCAGTCATGCCAGCCGGATAGTTCAATTTACTGAATGAGTCTGGACTAGTCTCTGCCACCTCGTTTTGATCTTCATGGTCAGGGTCGGGTTTCTTTCAGGGTCATGGCTGTCCTCAACCCACTGAAGGTCACTCTCGTGGATCTGCCATTTGACAGCCAGGAGGTCGATGTACCGGAGTTTCCGAACGAGCCCAACAGGGGGACGCATAAAACCGTGTTTGCCCGCACGCTCTACGTTGAGGAAAGTGACTACCGCGAGGTAATGTGATCGTGGAGGTGTGGTATTCTCTTATGTCAAGGTGGCGCCAAATTTTCCTACCAACAATTCTGTGCTACTGTAATGAGCTATTTGTTTGCTGCTAAACTAAATGGTGAAATTGTATGCGGCCAATCCGAGCACAGATGGTGTGTTTATGTACCAGCCAGTTTTGGTGGGTTTTTTCTATTGAGTCTTGAAATGAAAATGATATCTATTTAAGGTTATTTTAAAATAAACCTGACCTCTATTTTTATGGTTTTGAATTTGTTTTCTTAATATTGTTTGTTGTTTGCTGGAATCATAGAGGCAGCATGCAGGCCGTGGTTAATTCCCTTGAAGTTGAAGCTGAAATATTTCTGCACGTCCTTACATGTGTTGAGCATATTAAGCGAAAAGTGCAAGCGCCTTATGTTCCTTGACACACAGGTTGCTGATAAAGACTTCCGTCGTCTTACGAACCAGCAACCTGTCGGCTTAATGCACATTGGCTACGTTATCAGCGTCCAGCAAGCGGTGAAGGTAGGGATGGCTCTATCTTTTTCTCAACAGTACTAAAGTGTTTGCGAGAACATTCTGGTCAATATCAGGTCATTATTTGTTTGTTGTGTCGTTTGTTTGGGGAGGGGGGAAATGGCGTTTGAATACGAAACTTTTCGAATTTTCTGTAGGCTAACGACCGACTGAAATCCATATTGCAATATGGTTCAACAAAGTGCTGTTGCTGAAGTAATGTTATTGCTTCATTATGATATTATGTCCTTCATGTTTATGTTTCATTAGTTTTGTTCATTAACAGGCGTCGAAATTAGCGGTATCCTGATATCCGCGGGATAGTAGATTCTTGTGTTGGATACCAGATTTCAATGCTTGGTATCCCGCCGGGATAGTTAAAAAAAAATCGTAAAAATCGGGATAGTGGTTGTTGAGCATATTTGCATGCGCAAGCGTAAGCGTAGCTGATGTTGATCATAAATGTGATGTGTATACATTGTATCAAGCGAACCAGACAATGCGTCTAGACAATACGTCTGCAGTGTACTTGTCTGTGCATATCTGTGAATCTGTTTTCATGTTTTTATATAATAATTACATTACATATTAAAGGAACAGTAGCCTCTAGGTTCTAGGGTTATTTTAAGCTAATTTAGGTTATAATTGCGCTACATAAAAAGTTTCATGGTTCAATCACCATTAGAAATATTTTTTTAAATGTTTTAAAACTAATGACTACAGTTTGATTACAACGACGGTGGCGCCACTCAAAGCGCACGATCTGAGAAGTTGCGCAAAACCACTTTCCAACCAAGGGCTACAGACCGAGGGTATTTCTTATTTATTCATTTAAAAGCAAAAGGATTGTAATATCTTATAAACGACATATAGTTTCAGTTATAATATGGATAAATTTGCCCTAAATGAATATCGTTCGGTTAAATAGCATTTAGGTATAAATATAATTGCACTTTTGTGATTAGCCCTCGGTCATTTACCTGCAAAATAAAAATGCAAATACGCAACTTTTTCAGGGTGGCAGCACGGTCGCGGGTGTCATGGCGCCGTTCAAATTTCGTAGCGTTGATGTGTAAATAATTAATTAAGTATCTGGTGACAAATACATGTGGGTATAGACGATTTGATATACAGTAAGTACAGTTGTATGCAGTAAAATCCTAGAGGTTACTGTCCCTTTAATAATTTTCAAATGCTATTATTGCATATTTCAAGATTTTGTATACCAACATTGTTGAAATTACTATCCAAAAATGGGATACCAGATCTTTGGGGGAGATACCAGATTTCAATACGTGGTATCCCGAATGGATACCATAATAAAAATCTAATTTCGACCCCCTGATTACTCTGTCTGTCAGATTATTAATAATGTTATATGGCTTATGGTGCTCATTCGGTATTTCTCGCTGATGTATTTTACGTGCAGGATTCCAATGGCAAGGTAATTGAACTGTTAGCATACGCACTACCCCTAGCTGAGACGACGAAGCCTAAGGCATTCATCCACTGGGTGTCGCAGCCGCTCACGTGCGAGGTTCGACTTTATGAAAGGCTGTAGGTAGCACGTTAATTAAAAATGAACTGGCTAAACTAAAAATTGGCTGCTGCTTAGTAATATGCAACCTTTGGTTGTTTCGTTTTTACATTTGATCAGTTTGGCTGAGCATTCACCATAGGTTATGTTGACCTTAGAATGAAATGTTCAATTTATAGGTTTAAACACAAGAATCCTGAGGATCCCAGAGAAGTTCCTGGTGGATGGCAGACTGATATTAATAAGGTATCGACTGTTGGGAGTTGAAAAGGAAGCGGTCTTCTAAACATGCTGAGCAAACTAGCATTGCCACAGGGAACCATATTGTAGGCATATTATATATATATATATATATACATATATTCATCCATCTATCCAATCCACCATTCATCCATCCATTCATCCATCCATCCATCCATCCAGCACCCATACAGCACCCATCCATCCATCCAGCACCCATCCACCCATCCATCTATATATCTGTCTATCCATCCATCTGTCCATCCATCCATCCATCCATCCTTCAATCCATCTATCTGTCCGTCCATCCATCTATCTGTCCATCCATCCACCCATCTATCTGTCCATCCATCCATCTATCTGTCCATCCATCCACCCATCCACCCATCCATCCATCCATCCATCCATCTATCTGTCCGTCCATCCATCTATC